TTTGAAAGATCGTTAACTCGGGTATTGTCATTCTTAATCTTACGAAATTCTAAGCAAAGGCACATGCTCAAAATTATCGTTATTCTTCGCCTACCGTTTTACGTAGCACGGGAGAGCCATAACTTCTTTACTTCTCTTGAATACTCAGATAAATCTAATGTTTATGAAATCATGGTGTTTAGACCATAGCAAGTTATACAACAACTTGGAACTATGACGGCTTTTTCTAGCGAAGCAGTTTTGACAAGCGAGTCAAGTAAATCATGACTAATTTCCACCCTGTTTGCACGCGTTTTGGATCGCCAAATTGTGCTTAAGTTGAAAATGGCTTCCATCGTTTTTCTCAGGAATTAACAGATATTTCAAGGAAAAACTGCATGGCATTCATATACTTACTAAAGGCTATCTATATGCAAAAGACGAGTGAATTTGATTTTTTTTCAGCTTTGCCGAAGATTTGCGATTTTGTTTGATTCTTGCACGGATCTGCTCTTAAAGTGACATCAAACTTACGTTAAATCACGCATTCTCGATTACCAGCGCTCTTCGGAAACTCCATCTAACATCTCGGAAGGATCAGATTGGATATGAGGAAACGGCGGAAATCGAACCTACATCAAAGATCAGTGGAAAAATGTATCAGCCACGCTTCATCCATTTACTCTCCGCTTTCAAAAGATAAAAATTCAGGGTTGGGCTTATTAGTTGTGTAAGCAAGAAGGATAGGCAAATTAAGGAAATCTATTTAATAATTATTATTTTAAGAGCGCAGATTACCTTAGAAAATACTACGATTTGTCTCTGCAGACGCCTAGCTTCAATGAATACTTTAGCAGCAAAAGAAGAGCCGTACGTCAAAAGATGGAACTTATTTCTAAAGAAATCGGGGTACACGAAGGCAATGACTGACTTTGTGGAAGAAATCGCCACCCATGTCTCGAAAAAAATCGCTGTGGGAAATCCCGTGTTTCGAGTTCTTGGAGTGGGAAGCGGTAAAGGTAAAACCGACTTGCGAATTCTCACTGGCATTTCCAACGTTTTGGGGCAGTCTCATCAGATGAATAAGCCGTCCATACACTCTGTTATCGTAGAGCCGAGCCAAGAAATGATATCAGAGTTTAAGGCAGCGACCACTCCCTTGCCGCAATCTCTTGTTAAAAGTTCAGCTGATGTTACGTTCGAATGGTGCGCTATGACCCTAGAGAAGTTCATCGAGTCTTTTCCCAAAGTGGAGAGCTTCAATATAATTCATTTTGTGGCCTCTCTGTACTACATGGATGCTGAATTATCGCTACGAAGCTGCTACCAGAAGCTTTGCCCGGGTGGAGCCATGTTCTGTACTGTGGTCCCTGAAGAATCGTTCTTCCCGCAAATTTCAAAGAAGCTGCACACGAAAGTGGATTTAGGTTCAGCTCAGAAGCTTTACTCAGAAGAAGATGTTGTTGATATTGCCGCAAGAAACAACTGGAGATACGAGAAATTGTGGAAAGCGCAGTACATCGCGGACATAACCAGCTGTTTTGACGAGTCGTCCAAAGAGGGTGGCATTTTACTTGATTTCCTGACCCACCAGGGAGAGTTTCGCACAACAGCAGACAAAATCTCTTACCAGGAGGCGATGGATTTTCTAGGTGCTGAGTCCGCTACAGATGGTAATGGGAGAAAAATAATTCGACCAGAGATGACCGCAGTGGTAATTTACAAATAAGGATTGCTGCTGCAGAATAAGTGCGAAGGTTAACCAAACGTATGAGTGGTGTGAATTGAAAAAAAGTTGTAGCTGATGGAACATTTTCAGGACTCAATAAAGGACTAAAAGAAATACATATTAATGATAACTTGAATCACTTCTTTCTGTCTAAAAAAAAAATCATTGAATTTCATTTCAGTCAGATTCTTGTGCAGTGACAGTCACTGCAACATCGAGGAAGACATCGATTAAAAAATGAATTAATATTTTTGGCTGGAATTATTGCGGCGCCACACCTCCTCTTCAGCATAAAGTATGTGAGTAGTGTTGAGTTCCAAATGGAAACCTAAATTTGCCACAGGGGTTTCGATTCCGTTATCACACCAAGCAATTTTGGGTAATTTCACGTTGTTGTTTTGCAGAAGACGGCTACGTTTTGTAGGAATTTGTAAAACACACGAGCTCTGCCCACAAGATCTTTAATTTTGCCAAGTGTTCCGAGTCCTCACCATCGCCTTAGTGGTTGGCTGGTTCCTTAATTGTTACTGTTACAGCTTATATTACCTCAAATTCTGTGACGCTGTTAGGGTTAGGGTTAGGGTGTTTCAAATTTCGAACGCCTGGACAATAGAGAGATTTTACACCGCATTTACATGAAACGGTAAACGTCAGCTGGCCCTTTCATCTTTCATGTTTAACGTCATGGTGGATTTGAATGCGCCTTTGATTTACTTACAAGGGATTGTTTTGGTGCCTTTTGTTTTCTTTTACTCTCTAAGAGAAAAACTGAAGAAAATCTTACGTACACGGCGGCAAACGTCAAACAGGTTACTTTCACGTAGAAACGGCAAACGTGAAAAAATGGCGAAAAATCAAGGTCATGTCGTCCCTCTTGCCATTCACGTTTCACGTAAACGCGGTGCTACCACTCACTAATAGCTCATTCACTCTCCACGTTTTGCTGTTCTTCTCGTCGTTCTCTTTTTACAAAGTTCCCTGTGAGTGGATTCACAGGAACTTCCAATTTATTCCGAGCTACAGAGTGAATTTGAAATCCTCCACACCACACTCGTTTAAGCTAAAGTTTTGAAACCTCTCAAATGTAACTAATCCTTACCGTGCGGCTTTCTTTTTTTCCCGTTGGTTTGCACTCGGTTTAATTTTCGAAAGATTAAAGACGATTTACGGTAATAGCTGTATACTCGCGGATCAGTTTTCAATTGAGAATTGACTTCGCCCTGTGATTGGTCCAAAGAAATTGCGCTGCCCTCTCAACCTATCAGAAGTTGAAAAAAAAAAAACATCTGCGACGTGACCTCTCGCACTTTCCTGCGCTTTAGGCAGTTTGCTTGTTTTTTTTTTTTTTTTTTTTTTTTTTTGCTTTCAGTTCTACAGTAACTGGCTCCTTGATATTTCTCTCGTTCGCTGTTATGAAAAGTTTGGGTTTCCTTTCACGTCACTCAATCAGAAAGCGCTATACTAACAATGGGTTAAAGGAGCGCCTCATGGTGCCCATATGAGCTCTTGCCAGTGTAACATTAATATTTCAAGGGATTTTCCAGTACTGCTCCTAAACAAACGTGACATCCACCAGTTCTCATTTCTAAGTTTGAGTTTCTTTGAGATAAAAAATCAACAGTCTTGATTTGATTACAATGTTTTCCCATGTTCGTGATGTGTTTGACAAAAATATTATCAGGCAGGCACAAAAATAGAATAAAATTGAGCTAGTATTGCTTCTGTAGGGTGTCTAAGTGTTCATTTAGCAATGTACTGTTTTACGATACCACAGAAGATTTTGGATGCACATACAGTTCTCCAGGAACATCGCAAACCCTTTACACTCTACCACCAGTGTGTGTTTTCTCTATGCATTCCCTAAGGTGCTGAAAAGGAGAATTTAGTTGCACAATCAAGAAACTAATGTTTACAACCGCTTCGCCGTGAAAGGTCTGGGTACATGAATCAACCAATTCACCGTGAAGACGCGAATCTAGCAACCTTGAGTCCCCATTCCCTTTAATTTGCAAAACCTCAGCTACGCCCTTTTGATGGCTCGAAGTTAAATTTTGACGCTTATAGTTCATTATCGCGATATCAAATGGAAAGTATATTGTTGTTTAGGGGTTACTCTAGGCCCTTATAATTTTTGGTATAATTTGAGCAAACTGGCATAATTTCTACCAAGTAGCAATGCTAGCATAATTCGCATATTTTGATAGTTATCGCATCATTTTTGATGCTACAATTTGATCCTTGTTCATCTCTACTCCCAAGCACTTGGTGTCGTTATTCGATGTTTTAAGTTTTCGTTCAAGTAGTAGCTTTGAATCACTGAGCGGCGTGTGAAACGGTCTGAGCCCGGGTCTGGGGTGCACCGGAACCGAAAGTCACATTGTAGGTCATGTTGGTGTGCAGTTAAGATGAACCACATGTTTATTTGAATTTCATCGTGGATTTGTTGCGTTTCTTTCTTGTAGACCAAAGGCTTCTAATTAAAAAATGTATTTTTTGGACTTATTTGCAATTTTTTCAAAGAGCATAATTTGGAAAAAAGAGCATAATTTTAGCATAATTTCGCTAAAAAAAAGCAATGCTACTAGCATAATATGCTACTTTTACTAACATAATCTACAAAGGCCTAGGTTACTCTGATTAAATAAAAGTTGCATAACGCACATTCAATTAGTAAAACGTGAGTCATTTCATTCCATTTTTATCATGATAATCATTTTTCCCGATATGCACAAATAAAGATCAGGTGCGGACGTGGGCGGGAATCACCCTGCTCACCCAAGTATGACAGCGTAGAGCATTACTCAGAGAAACGCAGGCAAATACGCTTTTACTCCTATGGACTGTTTAGTTAGCTAATCTTTAATCCGCGTTCAGCCTATAATCAGCCTTCCTGACAAAATTGCAACGCAAATGATAAATCTGTTTCCTATGACAAACTGTAAATGTTCCAGTCCCTCTTTTGAGGCCCTCAGGCCCTCACTTTCATTCGGGAAATTTAAACTACGGCCACTAACACAGTTGGGAAATAAAGGCGCATAGGGATATAAAAGTATGTTCTATTTCAGCAGCAAGGGGTTGATCTGTTGAAGTTGCAGCTTCGATAGGAGCAATGGGCGTGAGAGAAAATAGCCATGGTGCCAGATCTTCGATTGACAATAATGAAGTCTCAAGACTCCGTGAAGTTCTGGATCTCCACATGTCCTAATGCTGTCTTTTGTTAATGGTACTTCAATTGATCGCGAGGATCACTTATTTGATTTTAGTTGGAGTAGGATAAAAGCTCGCATCATATTATATTTTTGGTTGCGAGCACTAACCAAAGTGACTAATTAATCGAACTGCAGTTCAGTGTTAGCTGTTAACGATCCATTGTGCTTGTCAAACTTTCCAAGCTGTCACAGCCGAAAATCTTTCGTGTTTTAGCATAACACTCACAAGCGGCGATCAGACCATTTTCCTTTTATTAGTAGAGAGACGAGGCGCGAGGATTGGCGCGCGCGAAAAGTCACGCGTGTCTACTCTCCCAGTTTTCTCTGAGGTTATTTGAATTTCTGAACTCGAATTGTCTTATAAACACGTTGCTTCTCTTACTCCAGAGTGTTTTTCCTATTGAGATTCGGACTCTCCGATCCAGTTTCCGATGTATGGACTAAAAAAGTTGCAATCCTTTTTCTCTTTTTCGGATTGCCGGTCATTACTTTTTGCCCGAGCCTTATTTTAAACATGATGATGAGGAGATCTTTTCATATTGGTCATACTTTTAAGCCCTGAGCAATAAGCATTTTTGATGAAAAAGAAAATCGAGCTTGTTCCATTACGCCAACGCAAAAGTAGTGTTTAACTAGCACACCAAAAAAGGGAAGCAAAACCGAGACGAAAGTGGCGCCAATTTCCGCCTCGCGGCACACACTCTCAGCAAGGCATCTCACATGACTAACCTCAACCAATCAAATTCTTTGCTGTGGTTAAGCAAGATGGCGGATCGCTTGAAGCTAATGCTGGATCTATCAACTTGGGTTGGATTTGGCCTGAATTCTTCATAACAAATGCACTTCTTTAGATTTTCGAGAGGTGTTCGTGTTTTTGAAATTTACGAATCCTCAGGAAGGTGACACTTGACGGAATACAGTGGAGGTTTGCGGGTTTGAAGTGTACAGGACACGATTTTGAAAGTTGTATCAACAAAACTGTATGCATCGAAATTTGGATGGGATCTAGATGGTAGTTCAACAGTTACTGGACGAGGTAGGTAATTCTTGCACTTAAAATTGATATTCTCCAAATACGTGACTAACAATTAACTCTTTATGCTATTTTTGGCGTGCGAGTTAGAGCTGAAATATCAGTCTTGTAGTAGCAAAATATGTTACAAAGTGTTGTCATCGCGTTTTCGATAAATTATTTTCATTATGAATTATTTGTCAGCCTCCCCTCGTACAAGCGTGCTTCCACGGTGATGCTGCCGAATTACGGAGCTTGATAGGCAGAAAAGAGGATGTAAATCATCAAGTAAGTAAATTTGACTAAATCGGTGACACTCTCTCGAGAATTTTTCGGGTCACCGAAGAAATGTCAATTCAGTGTGTAACATCAAGTACCTTCTCGAAAATAAGACAGGCCTATCAAATATTTAAAGACCTCCGGCAACTAATAATAGAACTTAAGTTAATTGTCAGCTGAATTCTCATATAAACTGCTGTTTTAGATTTAAATAACTGATATTTAGCTTTCTATCGATATCAGTACATGTTTATGGAATGTCAGTATTAGATTTTAATTTTAGGTAGGAAAAATTCCTACCATGGATAAAACAATCTTTTTGTCATTTTATTATTTTGGTTCCTTACCTCATTTATTCATAACCAGGGATCGAAGACTAAGAAAATAACTAACAATTTAGTTGGAGAACTTTATACCTGACAGTAAAATTTATCTGAGGCATGAATACCATGTGCATGTTACTTCCTTTTTACGAAATGAGTTTATACTATTGATTAAAATTTTGATAAGAAGAGGCTTGCATGTTAGAGGCATTTGGTAGAAATGTAACACCTATATTTGATCATAAATTACTGTTGCCAGTTGTTTTCTGATTGGATGGCCTGCGGTAGTATGCCAGTCAATAACATGTATAAAAAGGAACTAATTTAAGTGAAAGGTGTTTTGGTCTTTTTATTATTCTTATTTGTCTATTATATCATGGCTGAGCAATACATGTAATACAGGCAGCTGTTTTCCTAATGACTTTTTCCTTGTCCTTCTATGCATGCAAAATTACCATGCAAGTCAGAAAATATTGTATAGTTAACAAATTGACAGTGATATAGCATGATCTGCACTCTTAACGACCACGATATTAATTTTGTTGCAACAGTGGTTAAAATTTGTTGCAGACTCTCTTGGTTGCGCTTCGCAAGTCCACAACATTTTTACTACTCTGATGACAAATATCGTTGTCAAAAAAAGTACAGACCATGCTACACCAATGTCGATTTTTTTTTTTACAAAAATATCTATGTCAAATATTTTAAAAACAATTCCTTCAGTGTGTGACACTTTGTGTGACAGATTGACATATCTGCATTGTCTGTACTCTTATTGGCAACAGCAGATTAGCCAATCAGATTGCAACGTTACATCTAACTATGTTAAAATAAAGCATTGCAAGGGGTTTATTGTTCCCATTAGCTGGCAATTATTTCAGCATGTCTTTGATTGTTCCTGACAAACTTTTTTAATCTTGTTATTACTCTAGGATGAAGAGAAAAGGACTGCTTTACATGCTGCTGCACATTGTGGAGAGAGTGAATGCGTCAGCATTCTTATTGCTCATGGTAACATTTATTCAATGAATGCGGGGCTCGACACTAACGGTAGCCCACTAGCCACAGACTAGTAGAAATTCAGTTTTGGCCAGTGGTTTTCAATTTCCACCAGCCAGTTTGGCTAGTAAACACACTGAAATTGTTGTAACATCTAAAAACATCTAAGATGTCACTAGCCACTTGGCTAATAAGTTGAAAAGTTAGTGTCAAGCCCTGGAATTGGGAAAACCTGCACCAATTACATTATTACATTGCTCATAGTAACATTTATTCACTGAATGAGGAAAACCTACACCAACTTACATTTATTCACTGAATGGGGAAAACCTGTACCAACTTCTGTTGTTACCTCATCATGAAAAGTCATCACAGTTCATGTATGATGGGGTTTTGTTCATGCTTTAAGTCCCTCAGAAGTAGACTGCATTGGGTTTTAAGTTTTAGAATCAATCTGTTTTGTCTATGGGTAATTTTGATGCAAGGGGGAAGAGGTGACCAGCAATAATTCTGGGAAAGGGGTTTGGTACCTAGCTCTCCATGTTGTAACCTTTTTTCAGACTAAAACATCCACTTTCTAGACATATTTTTGTATCTACTAGATACAAATATGTCCATAGACAGTAACTTGTGGTTGCCTTGAAGTATAGCAAAGCTGTGGAAGGAAAACAATCACAATCATAAGGGGGAAAACAATCACTCTCTGATATAGCAAATGATATGTACCTTCAGTAATTTTATTCCATTGAGATAGCACCTTTTTTTTTTCTCAGGAGCAAGAGTAAACACAAAAGACAGTAAATGGATGACCCCTCTCCATCGTGCGTCTGCCTCTGGCAGTGTGGTAAGTTCTTTAAGTAGAGATGTTTGTACACTTTAAGCAGCAAGTGTAATTTTCACAGCTCAACTGTATAAGAAATGTTATACCCTCAGTGAAGTTAACTGTAGAAGTTCTCAGAGCACTAAAATTACTGTGTACGTGTAGCATTCCATTTTTTATCTATGGGATATAGTCACTCAGCATACACATAATTATGTGTGAGTGTATTAACTTGAATAGATACATATATCTTCTCTTATACTTTCAGGTCGTGCCTAAAAAGGGGAAGTATTAGTGTAATCCAGTTTCCCCTTTTAGACTGGTTGAAACATTGCCTTCCCTTGGCCAGTGAATGTGAAAATAATCTGTGCTTGGCTAAATGGGAAATCTTCTTGCCTTATTGAATGAGACAAATGGTTTTGTGAGTTCTTCTGGTTCAGAAGATTTACATTTCCAGTCTAAAGGATTTACTTCTTACTTGCAGGAGTGTGTCAAAACATTGATCAAAAGTTCAGGGGATGTCAATGCAAGAGACAAGAACTGGCAGACCCCTCTGCATGTTGCTGCTGGCAACAACCAGATACGATGTGCAGGTAATTGCATACTGTAACAAATATCTGTGGGGTCTTCATGAACAGCATTTGGCTCCAGCATTGGGGAAACTACAATCATCAACAAAGTTGTTGACACATTGATCTTTTCAACCCCTTCTACTTCAAATATATCTCCTCTGCCCTTGTTAAGTTGACCTAATTACCCCCTTCCCCCCCCCCTCAAAAAAAAAACAAAGTTATTTCCTCATTCCATTAACTTTTAGCCAACATTGAAAGGGAAAAGCGAGTCTGTTAATGATTTAGAGTGTGGTAGAAACAGGACTGTTATTCTTCACCTTTATACAACTCTTCAAACATGATGTGTCAGCTAATTTTGATGCTAATTAAAGATATTTTTACTGGCTTTAGTCATCTGAACTTTGTCTTTATCCTGATTGTTTTGAATTTTGCTTGTAGATGTTATTATTCCTGAACTACAAAATGTGAATGTGACTGACAGAGCTGGGAGGACAAGCTTACACCATGCAGCATTCAACGGCCATGTTGAGGTACATGTTTCGAATTTAAAATTACAGTTACATGTATGTCTATGAAGCTTTTCTTCTTTATTTAGTGCTCCACCTGTAATCTTATCCTCACCATAGTAGAGCTTTCACTTCCAGGTCTCATTAGTAATTCCCCTTACTGTCTGCCATATAATTCTTATAATGTTAGTTTGGAGAATTTGGTATTGGATCAACTAATAATCCCCTTATTGATATTTTTCTTTTCACTCATCACTTTTCTGCTTGATATTGTATTGATATTGTAAGGTGAAATTCTATCTTGGTCACTCAAGGGAGTTAAAGGTTAACTAGCTGAATGTTTTCAGGTCTTAATCAGTAGATTACATGATTTTGTCTATGAATCTTAAATATTGTACATTTATCAGACATTAATATATGCTTTTACTCAATACATGTACTACACTACATCTATATGTATGCCAGCCATTGATTCTTGATTTATTCTCCTTGAAATTTCTACTGTAAGTAGAGCTCACTCTCAGCTGCTGATAAAAGGATTCTACTCAGGTATGGAAAGCCATACTGGACAAAAGTGGTCGAGAGTATTTTGTTGGCCGAGAAATAATTTTGTCTTTCAAGATGTATTTTCGATGGTCCAGAAATATTTTTGACGATTGAGTAAAATTTTTTCATTAGTCGAGAAATAATTCTCTCTGATGAGAAATATTGTGGAAGTCCACAAATATTTTAAAGGATCGAGAAAACTTTTTCATAGGTCAAACAATTTTTTTACTGGTTGAGAATTTTTTGGTAGATTGAGAATTAATTTTGTTTATCAAGAATTTTTGTGCCGATCGAGAATTTTTTTGTCGATTGAAAATTTTTTTGTCAAATGAATCNAATGCAGTTCTAAGATTTTTATTAGTTTTTGGCATGATTGCTATTAATAAGTTTTCCAAATACCTCTTAGTGTTCCACCTGAAAAGTATTTCTTCTGATAATGCCTTTTTTCATGCAAAGATTGTTTGTATGGAATAATATCATTTCCAATGTTTTAAGGATACATTAGACATTCGCAGGTGTCCTTCACAAAAAAAAATGGTTACCACGCTATTTAAGGCATAACCACCATAAGCTATTTATCAATGGAAAGGTTATTAAATGTACTGTCCAGCAGAAAATCTTTTGTTTTAGCTTGATCTAATCGTAAGCCAACCGAGGTGTGATAATTTAAAACAGACAATGTTTCTTTGAGTGAATTAATCAAGTATCAAATTTACCCGCACAAGTGAAACTTCTGCACAATTTCAATCTTAAGGGGTTGGTCTCCAAAACCGTGTGGGGTTTTTTGATATTCCTATTGGTTGCTTTGCAATCTTTCTGTCAAGTTCAGTTATCAAAATTTTACGGATATGCGTTACACCGGAGACCAATGTCGGAGATCATTTTTGAAAAACAGAAAAGCCCCACTCTGTTTTTTAGATTGGTATCTTGGGAGCCTTCGGACCAAATTTCAAGTCAATCCATAAAGGTTTCATACCCTATTAATTCTTCCAAAGAAGACACACTCGCGTAAAGATGAAGTGGGTCTTTTTCACTTCCAAAGTTTTTCCAACATTTCAGGCCTTTAGTTGACCACAAGTCAAGTTATGTCAACACTTTGAAAAACTTGAAATGCGGACCGCATTTTTGTAATATACGCATCCCAATACAATCTGCAATGCATTGCATGTATTCACTGAAACTGAAGGGTTCTGCTAAAAGGGCCTGTGCTTTGCCAGATACAAAAAACCACTAAAAAAAATATACTCATAAGATGTGGCCAAAAAATGTGTGGAAACATATGCCTCATTATATTCTAATGCAGCAGCACAAAAGCCCAAGGAAAGGGTACAGAACCTGGTTACAATACTAATCACAGAAAAATCAATGTATGTTGTGATAGGAAAAAGTTTTCTCGATCGTCAAAAATATTTCTGGACCATCAAAATATCTCGAAAGACAAGATTATTTCTCGGCCAACAAAATTATTCTCTACCACTTTTGTCCAGTATGGCTTTCCATACTCAGGCATCTATACCTGAAAATGCATGTGATACAAAAGGATTACTCTAGAGTAAACTTGAAAACTCTTGTTTTCAGATGGCACAGCTTCTTATAACTAAAGGAGCCCACGTGAATGCTGCCGATAAGAAGGACAGAAAGCCAATCCACTGGGCTGCGTACATGGGTAAGTCATGTACAATGTGTTTGTAGTTCAGAAGTACCACCATCTCATGGTCAGGTCCTGTTTGATACCTAAACCTACAGCTGTGTCACTGTAAAACATAAATGACTTCATTTTTCTTTATTCCAGGTGAAAGTAGGTCAATATCATTTACTCATAAATATATTTTGGGATTTGATTATTTTTTTTGGGACAAGGCTAGTAGTATTGTAGGTGCTAAAGGCTTTTCAGTTCTTTTTTTATATATATCAGAGGAACACAGTTTCATTCTGTGTAGTATACTGCACTGACTCCAAGTGGAAAAATCAGTGTTTAAGTTCTGGCAACAGTCATTGTACACACTGAATTCAGTTCTTGGACAAGGAAATGTACTTTCAAAGCACTTACATATATCTCAGCCAAAATTATACAATGCACCTCTGAATGTTACCTGTAGGCTGTCTGGGTGACCCTATGTAATGTGAAGTTAATCGATTAAGATCTCATCCAGAGGGTGTAGCAGTACTCATAGTGGCCTCATATGTTGTAAACAAGGGTATATGTGTATGCTACTGATTTAAGCCACTGGGAAAGAAATCCCCTTCAACCACTTCTAAACTAATTGGATTCAGTCACTAAGATATGTATATGTACTCACAAAAAGTCAGCCAATGCAGGACAGTTGTGTGACACCTATACAATCACTTAAGTCTTGAACACTACTACATGTATAACGGTCAATCAGTGCTACATGAAGTACATCCCCTTTTTGGCAGATGTAATGGATGACATACACTGTAATCTCTTACATATCATAATCTACAGTTGTAAGTAGCCTTTATCTTCTTGCATAATATGCATCTGTTGAGCTTTTTGTTGCATGTTTGGTTATTTGTAGGACGCATTGAATGTGTAGAGGTTTTGGTGAAAGGTGGAGCTCAAATTGACTGCAAGGAAAAAAAGGTACAACTTGTACATTTTGTGTGTGTTAACTAAAGAAGTAAGAGGTGGCTACTAGATTTTTAGAACTGTTGGTTTGTTGGATGACCTATAGGATGACATAGAAAATGTTCCTTCCTGATTCCAGAAATACATGTACATGTAAATTTCACGATCATCCAGTCACATTTTACAATAGAGTAAATGTAATTATCTGTAATTGTATTTTTCCTTACACAATTTCTCCATTCTTGGCTTCTCTAGAGTTTTTCTGATATCAAGAATCTTTTTCGCATTAGTACGATTATCTTTAAAAATGATTTTCGAAATCAACACAACACAAATCACTCCAATACATGTTTATCTTTTGTCTTGTTCTGTATGTCCTACCCATCAATAAGGCCAGTTTGACTCATTGACTGTGTACAATTTGTGCATAATTTATTTGTATTTATTTACAGCCCTCCAAGCTCAATTTTTCAAAGAGTCGCCATTTGGCGACCTTCAATTGTAAAATGGTGGCCATAAAAAAAATTCAGTTGCCTCCCCTCCCCCCCCCCCAAAAAAAAAAGGGGGAGGACACTTCATGCAATTGGCTAATGCGCCAAACAACATGATTTTAACACTTAACTTTGCTACTGTAAGAGAAAGAAAAGGAAGAGACTCTCTAGTAGCAAAAGTGATTTATTTCAATATTACAAAGCTGCTGAGACCATGTAACATTGCCAATTGCCCCTTCAAATCGATCGAATTTGCCATTTTGAGCCGCAGAGGTCACCGAGTCAACTGAATTCATCCTATTGTTGATAATTTTTCAAGTAAGTTTCTCTTTAAATCTGTTGGTTGCCAATTGGCAACTTTCGCCAGAATTTTAGTCACCAAATATTTTTTCACTCACCATGGCAACCAAAATGGTTGCAGCTTGGAGCGCTGATTTTGGAATACAAGTTTGGCTATGCATTGAATATTTAAGAGATAATGTTTGAACTGTCTAACATAACTTCTTTTTGGTTTTTATTGTAAAGCATTACACACCTCTTCATGCAGCAGCCGCTGGAGGACAATTATCCACGCTGAAACAGCTGTTAGGACATGGAGCATCAGTAAGTTTCTTAGCAAAGATAAATTTAATAATAAATAATAAAATAATAATAATAAATTTAATAATCCCAAGAACAGTCGCTCCGACGAAGGGCTAACGCTTGAAATGTCAGCTTTTGTAATCATTACGGTGGCCGATTTACCCCTTCAACTTTGTTGATATATCCATATTATTTCGTTACCCCCACCGACGCAGCCCCAAACAGTTTCTTTTGAAACTATCAGCCTTTATCCAAGAACAGTCATACTAGTTGATGTAGAGACTACTTATTGTTTATTTATTTTGCTATTTTGTAATTGTAATACGTCAGACTGAGTATGAATAAAAGGAATTACATTCAATTTTATATTATTATTATTATAGTATAACTGAAAATGTAACTTGTGGCAAGTAAACTGATAGAGAAAGTGGGAGGCTCATGCAAACTACAGGCTCCTCATATTAATTTTTTTCAAATTGAGATATCAAGTTATTTGGCATAATTTAGGTAAAAAATATTTTAGGTTTAAAAGGAGAGAAATGCCAGACACACACACAAGCAAAAGCAGCATGAGAAAAGTAACAAAAAAAGAGTGTAGGAGAAGTAATCCAGAGGTATACATGTCTATTAGGTAGCCATACTCCTTAATCATTTAAGATGGATCCTTAATCATCTAAGATGGAATAAACCATCAGGTGTAGTCCACTCCTTAAAGAGCAATTTGGATATATCAACAAAGTTGAAGTGATAAATTGGCCACCATAACGATTACAAAAGCTGATGTTTGGAGCGTTAGCCCTTCATCGGAGTTTAAAGAACACCTCTCCAGTTTTTCGTCGGACCTTAAAGAACACCTGCCCAGTTTTTCTACTTGTAGTGTATCAATACATATTCAGGTATTTCCTCTCTTTCTGTGCAGGTGGATGCCCCAAACTTGAATGGTAACACACCACTTCACATTGCATGTCTCAATGGACAAGACATTGTCATAAGTGAACTTATGAGCTATGGTGCTTCTGTGAATGCCACTAACAAGAAAGGCATGGTATGTGTTGTTAAACTTCACCCCAGGGTGTCCCATCTCAACCATTTCAATGAGTTAGGTAATTGGATGTAAAACTGCCTCCCAGTTAGCTCAATGGATAGAGCGTAGGACTGATGTGCGGGAGGTCGAGGGTTTGAGCCCCAGCCGGACCAACACTCAAGGTCTTAAAATAATTGAGAAGAATATGCTGCCTTTCTATAGCATCAAGAAATGGTTTAAATATTCTAGTCTTCTCCGATAGGGACGAATAAATGGAGGTCCCGTCTCCTGCAGGATTAGGGGTAGGAGACATTAATTTCCCACGCACGAGATTACTGTGTGATGGATGTCCTCCCCTGGGGTGGGATGGGTGGGTTGTTGTCTTGCGTTTCATACCTGAGCCTCTGGCTCTGGCAGTATGGGTAACCATGCCCCACATGAAGACATTAAACTTTGGTTATTATTACTTTTACTATTACTAAATGGAACTTCATCACACAATGAAATGACTCCTATAATTGTTTATCCATTCAATCCTGTGCATCACTTTGATGCCTTTTTGGATTAGTTCGTTAATTAAGGAGTCTGTAATTGACTTTCCCAGCCAAGTTTGCTAAGGGCAACAGCCTGGCATGCTACATACACTTGTATGTAAATGTATCAATCCAATTCCTTTGGGTGAACAGGAGTTCTGATTTTTGTAAACTGGTAGCTTATTTTGGGTGATATCTGTTAACATTGTAAATGACAATCATGCTTAATGCTGTATGTGTACAATACTTGACTTAGTTTGTCGCAAGTTATTTTTGTTTTTATCATTTCAGACTCCATTACACTATGCAGCAGTGTCAGGGCAAGGTGATGTATGTCTTGAACTACTCCTAAATGATGGAGCTATTCCTAACTTGCAGGTGAGAAATGATTAATATTATTACCAGTTTATTTTGTGTGTTAAAAATATTTCTCTTGAATTTATCTTTATCTTTGTCTGGATAGATCACTTTAGTTTAGATTCACATACTCTGTACCAATAAATAACAAAGAAAACATTTGTTGATAATGTTTACAACAGTGCAAGAATGGAAGGACCCCACTTCATTATGCTGCACTTTATGGACGCTGTTCCAGAGCTCAAACTCTTCTCCAACAGGGTAATGCAATATGTACACATGGACATTTCTTTGTTACACTTTTATCTCCATGTGTATACCGGTACATTTTGTTGCAATGTTAACTAAGTGGAGTTTGCATGTTCTCGCCAATAGGAAAAACTTAGGATTTGAAATAAATATTTTTAGATTTAAAAAAGTTCATGACATCCAGAATGTTAGCAAACAGTTAGCTACAAATTCTACAATCTTGTCTCAACCAAGGCTCTTTTCCAGTGTTTGTCACTCTTCTGATGTCAGATCAGTCGTTCAATAAGTGTGTCCATTGAACAAATTGTGTACACTTAATTTTTGTTTTCATCTGTGTATTTGTTCAATTAATTAGTAGATTAGGGCTGAAGCTACATTCAATTTGTTTACAATTGATGTAGAGGAATCAGAAAGATTCCAAAAAAAAGTCTTCATGGTTGGCTAATAAGCCTTCTCTCGACCAATAGCCTAGCGAAACCTATACTAAAGTTTTTTCTCTGTCGCTGTTTAAGGTTGCTATGTGGATGCTGCAGATATTAGAGGAAACACTCCTTTGCATATCACTGCATTACATGGTCAAGAATTGTTACTAAGTGTGCTGTTGGCCAGTGGAGCAAACCGCTCAAGGTGAGTGATTAAATGAGTTTGTGGATAATGAAAATATTAGGCTAAATCACTTTTTTCCAATACATGTTTGTAAACTCTTTTAGGCGAGGATCATTTGGAATGCTGCCTCTTCACATGGCAAGCTTAGGTGGTTTCACAGACTGTTGTAGGAAACTGATATCATATGGTAAGTTTTCAATATGCAGGGAACAAAGTTAATGTTTGAATTTCTAGAATTAAAATCTTGTACAAAACTTAGGCTATTTTGTTCTTGGAAAAAAAATGTTGTCATAACAATGAATATGGAGACGAACTTGTTCCATGCCTCATAACTCTTTAATTTCAACACCCTTTAATTCAACATGTACCTTCCGATTTCTATCAGTTTCCTTAGCAATTATTTGAAATAATTAGGTGTAATAATTATTAAGATCACAATCTCCTTCTTGTGAACTGTTTGCTAGATAATGTTACTGAAAATGCAAGAAAAGGGTGTTTTTTTGGAGTTAAAGTTGTTTAATTTGTTACTTTCTTCAGGTAATGATGTAAATGCAAGAAATGATAATGATCACACTTGTCTTCATGCTGCAGCTTGCAGTGGGTGAGTTACACTATAGTGTAGAGTTGCTGAACATTGTTATAGGCCTTATTATGGGGTATACCTTAAAAAAAAAAAAACTGCTATGCATTCTTGCAGGTGCAGTTTTATCTCACAGGAAAAAAGAATTACATGTGTTGCATTTCTGAGACCTGGAACTCTCAGCACAGCACCATCTTCCTTATGTTCATAATTATGAACATTTAACGATTATTCACCAAAGGCGAGGTGAATATTGTCAAATAATCCCCTAGACGAAGTCAAGGGGATTATTCAACAATATTCACTGAACCTGAGGCGAATAATTGTTTTAGTATAATTTCAGAGCTGAACAACTGAGAAGTTTCTAAAATCATAACATTTTAGTAACATCTATTACCATTTTATTTTAACATTTTTCCACTAAATTCCCACTAAAATTAATATGAGCAAAGGTTGAATCAAAAACCTCTATGTTTAAGGTCCCAAGTGGTAAGATGTTACCCACATAAGGAGCAAGGGCATTCTCCTATGCTGCACCACATCTCTAGAATGACTTACCAAGTAACATCACTGGCTTTCACTCCTTCTCTAGTCTGAAACGTAATCTTAAAACCTACCTTTTTACCCAGGCTTTTAATCTTCCATCTCATTAGCTAAGTGCTTTTTAATATTCTATCGCATTTGGTTAGTGCTTTTTAATTTATCTCATTAGGAAAATTGTAACTTTACATATTATATATTTTTTTCCTACATTTTCTTTATTTTCATGTAAAGCGCATTTGATCATGTATATGGAATTTGCGCTATATAAATTTCAATTATTACATTTTATATAAACCGCGTGGAGCAATTTATATAGTGTCATATAAGGAACTGCTCGACCAATCAGATTTCTGAAAACTCTTTGCTCAGCTCTGAAATTATACTAAATATGCATATATGTACTCTGGGGTAATGACGACTAAAGTGCATGTTAATAATTCAGTCATCTTGGTTGTGTTTATAGAAATGTTGAATGTCTAGGACTTCTTTTACACAATGGTACAGATTATACTGCTTTAGACAAGTTAGGCAGGTTTGTACGATTACTCTCCTATGAGTTGATTGTTGATTTTTGAAAATTAATGCTTTTCTTTTTGGTGTTTTTTTTGCCCATCACTTGATGGTAGCTGCATGCAGATGTAACGTTGCAAAGTTCCACACTGTGCTGTCGAAATGGGATAGTGTAATATTGATAAAAAGCTTTTGATTGGGCTGTTCCTTGTTGGTGAAAAAAATAAATTCCAACAGCTTGAAACATGTTTTCGCAGAAAAGAAAAAGTTATAAGTTGTACATGACTGTTATCATGTTTGACAAATTTTCTAGCTACAGAAGAAACAGAAGTTTATATTATCTTCAACAAATTCTGTTTTCGTGTCCCAGAAGAATTAACAAATGGTAAACACCACAGCGTACACTATTGAGCTATGGATGCACGCGGGAGGTTGCTAAGCACGAAAGAAGCGTAAGAGTCGCGCGAGGTGATAGCCGAGAGCGACTCTAGCTTCTTGAGTACTTAGCAAACCTCCNCTCAAATTGATCACAGTGCATGTCTGGCTTTGTCAACTTACTTTCACTTTGCTTAAACCCTTTGTCCTGCAAACAAGTAATGAAAATACTCAATCTTATCAAGTAGAAGTTGTTATCTTGATCTAACGCCAAATTCTTGAAACTAACCTACAAGGAATTGTATAACAGCTAGAAGGGAGAATTTGCAATCAGATCACAAGAGTTAAAGGGGATAGTTTGGATGGACCTTTGACCGAAGTTGAAGTAAGCTGGCAAAGTTGCTGTCATAGTTGCCAACTTGCCAACTTGCCCTGTATGACCAGCTTTTTTTTTTGCCCTTTCTCTCTCTCTCTTTCTCTCCTTTTCTCTTCACTTGTGATTTAAGAGATAATTATTATTTAATTTTTGTTTGTTTCCAGAACTGCCCTTCACTATGCGGCTGGTCATGTGCACTACCTTTGTGTGAAATCACTGGTAGCCACAGGCTGTAGTGTAAATCAAGTGGACACAAGAGGCTGTACTCCTCTGCACTATGCGGCCGCAGCAGATGTTGATGCCAAGTAAGCAACAACTTCCATTTGTGAACATGACTGACGAAAACTTCTATCCTCCTGCATGTTTTTGTGTCTGAATCTTCTTTCATTCTGTCTGATCCTTCGTAGGTGTGTGGAAAACTTACTACGAAATGGAGCCAATGCAAGCAAAAGAGATAAACAAGGCTACAGTCCAGTGCATTACGCCGCTGCCAGAGGACATAAACTGGCACTAGAAATGGTATGAGTTATTTGAGTGTTATTATCATGATTATATTACGTAGTGTCTAATTTTGATGTAAAAATAGGAAGGAGACCAATCCGTTTGTGGTGACCAGCAACGACCTCGTGTACAGTTTAAAGATGAATACTTTTTTGTGTTGTCTCAGTTATTAGATGTAGCTGCAACAGATCTTCTAAATAAAAGTTCTGGTTCCCCAGCTACCACCCCTCTTCATTTAGTGGTAAGTTTTTTCGTTATTCACTTTCAAATTCTCCGTAATGATATTTTGATAAACTCGAGAATGTAGGTTGGGAGAAGAAAGAACTTTGCTGATTGTAACGAATGCACCGACAACATTTCAAAACGGTTACACGAGCCATACAGTTTGTCCCTAACCAATAGTTTCTGAAACAGAATTTAAAGCTAACTACCGACGATAAAACGGCAACAAAGCGAAATAAAATAGGCGAAATGACAACGGAAAACATACCTGACAGTTTGGATATCTAAACGGACACCAGATGCGGCATAACAATCATACGACGACAAGCTACGTGCTCAATGACATTTTTCGCGCGAAAACTCAAAGTATCAGAAGTATCGATACCAACACAAGGGGACTAAAGCCTAGTATGCGGTTGGACCGCTGGCCCCTAAATTTGTTGTAACACTGATTTTAGCACGATTTTTTCTTATGTAGGCCTTCCATGGTCATTACCAGGCTCTTCAAGTGCTCCTAGAGTCTTTTATGGACATCGATATAAAAGATCATAATGGTAAGGTGCTCCTCTAATCTGCTAGTCCTACATGCACATGCATATATTTTGCCGTTGTAATGTTGATGTACTTTGTATTTTTTTTTTTTTTTCTTGGATTTTCAAGCCTTGAGATCTTGTCACCAGTCTCATTATTAGCGCTTCAATACGAGCCGGAGTGTATGAGCCCTAGAACAACGCGAGCCGGCGCGATATTTTTCGCAGGTCTAGCACTGATGATAGAGAGAAAGTTAGCAACTCGTTTACGTGAAACGGCAAACGTCAGCTTGCCTTTTCACGTTTCACGTAAAATAGCGAGAACCTTGCTGCTTTAGCTTCGCGTGCGCTCACGTCACTTCCGATTAAACCGGAAGCCGCCTCATGAGCTGACGAGAGTTCTTGCAGCTGTCCGATGAATAAAAATGCAGCATTTTAAACTTCATCTGCCCTTGTCTGACTTATAGGAAATAGTTTTCTGGCAATTAAGTTCTACGCTGCTAGAGAAGAAGGAAGGAAAAATTTACGTACGCGGGAAACGCGAAACAGGTTACTTTCACTCGGAAACGGCGAAGCGCAACCGCCAATCGTGAAACAATGGCGGGAGAATCGTGGTCACGTGGTCACTGGCCATCATTGTTGAAACGTGAACAGCATGAGTCCCCCGACTCGCGTCCAATCTTTCCGCGGGCGGAGAACGCGCGTCGTGCAGCGCTAATAATAAGGATCTGGGTCTGCTCGTAGGCTACCTTGTCACTGGTTTTGATTTTATGTTGATCTGAAGTGCAGTTGTAAGTCCTAGAAGCTGTTAAAGTTAATATATAGCTGAGAAATGACCTCATTGGTTTGCCCAGAACTCATCTTGCAGAATGCGTGCGAAATACTGAATATGAAGGGAGAAATGGGGGCGCAATCTAATTTTTTCGTTCCAGAGGTATGATAGCCAGCCAACACGGGAAACTTTTGAGGACTTTGCAAGACCTTCACTCAGTTTTACATTAACTGGTCCAGGCGTTCAGTAAGTAAAACGAGGCGCGATGTTCAAAAAGCACGACAGCAGCGACGGAACGAAAATATGGGGAGGCTTGGGTCGAGTGGCGTAATGTACTTGAGTCGAAACTCCCACATTTTGCTCTGCCGCTATCATCACGCCGTTATTTATTTCCCCCCTTTTTTTACCAACTGAAGCCTGGAACAGGTTAGTTTTGTAATCCAGCGAGATAAAAAGCTCGCCGCCATCTCGCTGATTGTGCAGAAGCTTTTTGGCGTGGAACAGTACATTTACGGTTTAAGTACCACAAATTTATTTTTCCATTTCAGGTCACACTCCTCTTTTTCTTGCATCTTTTCAAGGACACGCGTACGTATATATATTTTCTATGTTATGAAAATAGTTTGAGTACTTTTTCAGGAAGGCGTGAAGACTCTGAAACTCTTGGAAAAGTAAAGCGCTCTGTGAAATTGTTTGTCAGACCTGTAAAAGTCATCAAATAATAAGGACTAGGTAGTTTTTGAAGCTGTGACCCGTGTCGTAATTTTCTGGATTTACAGTGTATGTGTATTTGCATTAAATATCGAAAGTGATCCTGGATTCCCTTGGTTATGCTTGACTTCGCTCTGTGATTGGCCTACTAGAAACTTCTCGCCACTCTCTCAACCGATCAGATGCAAAACTAAAACCAGTCTTAACATGGTCGCCATCGTTTTCCCGCGCCTCAGGCTGGTGGCTGCGTTTTCCCGCGCTTCAAGCAGGTGCATGCGTTTTCCGGCACTTCAAGCAGGTGCCTGCGTTTTCTCGCGCCTCAAGCAGGTGCCTGCGTTTTTTTTGAGTTCTCACTGATGATGTCATCCTTTGGTCTGATTGATCGTTATGATTACTTTGGTTTTGTGTTTTTTGGACACTCAGTTGAAAACTGCTCAATGTCTTGTTGCGTATTAGGTGATTTTTAAAATTATTTCCGAAATTTCTTTTTTTGTCTTACAGAGAATGTGTGGAATGCCTTTTGGAACACAACGCTAAAGTATTAGTGTATGATAAAATAACAAAGAGAACGCCTCTGCATGCAGCAGGTAATTTCATGTTGATCTTTTCACACCCCCCCCCCCCCCTCCCGTCTCCGTTCCAAGATAACTGATCGCCTTGGTTGTTGTTGTTGGTTTGTACTCAAGGAGGCCCTTTGGGCCAAAGGTGCTCGGCAAGGAAAATTGATCTCGGAGACAACTCTGAACATCTCTCTTTCCAATTATAACAACAGTATTGGTATTAACTTGATTAAACGCCATCCTCGGATAAACGCCGTGCGGAGATATGAGCAAAATTATCAATAAACATCGTATCCAATTGGAAAAATAGTTTTGTGCGAAGATTATGGGATAAAAAGAAAATTTAAAGGAACAATTTAGTAAACTACGTCATCCTTTGAAATTTATATCAAATTAGCGAGCAAGATACTTGAACTTAAAAATTTTCAGTTTCTAAATTTGAATCTCCGTACATCCTCCCTCTGGTAAAAAATGAGCGCCATTGGTTGACACCGTCATTCAGTCATGATTTGTTTCCTTGTTTACAGCTTACAATGGGCATACCGATTGCTTGAGACTTCTCCTCCAGTACAGTAACTCAGAGAGTGTTTTAGATTGCCCCGATGCAGATTTAAGGTTTGTTTGTCCTTAATGTGTCCCCTTAGCGTAATTCTATCTTGTTCCTTCCCTGAAAGTACCGTCCATCTCGTTTACGTCAAGGTTAAGCCTGGTGCGCAGCCATTCGTTCCTGAAGACGAGTATAATTGTAACTTGTGATTGAAACTTAATTGACTAAAAGAAAACTCTCTTTGTAAAGGAAAGAAAGAGGTAGTGTGAGCGTGAACTGGGGCTAGTGTTTTCAGAATCCTTCATTTGTCGATTTTTTTTTTTTTTATACTTCAAATCTTGGTAGGTTGTTATTTTTAGTGTCACAGTTCTCTGTCACGGTATCTCTGCAGGACGCCCTTGATGGCTGCTGTGGGGAATGGTTTTGTCGATTGTGCCAAGCTTTTGCTCAGTGAAGGAGCCAATCTTTTAGCTTTAGATGCAAATCACCGTAGTGCTCTTCACAGAGCTGTAAGTAGCTGCCTTCCGTGATATCTTTTAGCTGTAATTAAGAACCTGACGAAGCTTGTCATTCTCGTCTTGGAGCATCTAACCTTCTGCTTACCTTAGAGGAAAGAGTGTTCTCTGTGTCATCTAGATCGTGGCGTTAGGGAAAGATGGCGCCCCGAATGCCTCATATTTGGCTACTAACACTTTAATTTCTTTCCACACTAAAGGCAGCTAATGGTCACGATGAATGCGCTGAATGTCTTCTTGACAAAGAAGCAGATGTGCTTTGTAGGTGAGTGGTGTACTGTGGTTGAGTATTGAATCGTTTTGCAGAGAGAAAAAGTGGACTTTTCATCGCCTTTATAACATGAAGCCTAATAGCTTTTCGTGACTGCCAACTTGCTACTGACTCAGCGTAACTACTACTGTGGCCTTCAGTGGACATTCTAACTAGAGATCGTTTATTTTTATTATTATTTTATCAGAGATTGTAACGGCCGCACGCCTCTCCACTTCGCAGCAGCTTGTGGTCATGTGGGTATTCTAAGTGGTCTTCTACAGGTTGTGGGTAGTGGTGTCCATATGGATAACAACGGATACACACCTCTTCACTGGGCTTGTTTTAACGGTACGTACTCAGAATTTAGAACTGAGTTTATACATCAGCAAACTCTTACATTCTTGGAGTGACATGTGAAGTGAATGATAGGCAGACCTTGCATTTAATAATAATAATAAAAATAATAATAATAATAATAATAATAATAATAATCCTAAGGGACCCCTGGTCATGGGCTATGACTCGCTCCCTTAGGAAACAACCGAGATAAAGATCATCCAGTTCGTTTACTATAATAATAATAATAATAATAATAATAATAATAATAATAATAATAATAATAATAATATAATAATAAACATATTTACAGAGGATATCACAAATAACACTAAGTTAATTGGGGCGGTCCTCTATCTGCCCACCCATCCCACCCCAGGGGAAGACATCCATCACACAGTAATCTCGTGCGTGGGAAATTAACGTCTCCTACCCCTAACCCTGCAGGAGACGGGACCTCCATTTATTCGTCTCCATCCGAGAAGACTAGAATATCTAACCATTTCTTGATGTTATAGAAAGGTAGAAAATTGTTCTCAATTATTTTAAGACCTTGAGTGTTGATCTGGCCGGGGCTCGAACCCTCGACCCCCCGCACAACAGTCCAGCGCATTGGGCTAACTGGGCGGCATTTGTTTTGGAATAGTTCTTCTCGTTATCATCGTGAAAGGGTCGTGTTACTTGAATGTGTTTAATTTCTTTCTGTGTTTGTTGGCTACGATATTATGATAGTGCGACCATTATTTTTTCGTATATTCTCTTTGCTATCTAATTCGTTGGCTGAAGGAAAAGAACGAACGTGATAACATTTTCCTGCAACTTGATGGCTCAATCTATAGTAGCTCTCAATCACTCCTAAAGCAAGAATTATTTCAGCTGACCTAAACTGCCGTTAATCTTTAAAGATCATCTCAAAAGATCTTGGAAAAAACTAGCTCTCCTGCTTTTGGATTTACTCAGGTTATCCTTTGATTTTATATCGAACCTCAATATTAAACCATTTTTATTAGTAGATTTCTCAATGTGTAGAGACAACTTAAACTCTATCTTGTATCAATGGAGCCTCGTGTAGTAGATGCGTCCGTTTAAAGATAATTTCCATGTCTGATAGCCTCTGTTGGGATTTATTGTACACGTGTCTCTTTTTTTTTTAGGCCATGATACTTGCGTGGATATATTGTTAGAGGTAAGAAGAGTATTTTCTTGTTATTTTAATATTGCTGTATTACTTTCTCGCATTTGTTGTGTTGATGACCAAAATTCTTTCCTCCTAAAAACGAAATGTGCAGACAGAATGTTACTAATCCTCTACTCATAAGAAGTGACAGCACATGGGGAAGTACCCTGTTTGGCTCTTTTGACGCTTCCCAACTTTGGTGTATTGCAAAGGTTCATCCGATTTGAGTAAATCTCAGGTTGTGTGTTATTGGGATTCATAGGGTGATCATTCCAGAGTATTTGGTGGGAACCAGTTTACGCCATTACACTGTGCCGTGTAAGTATCCAGTTGTTAACCCCGATGGGGTTCTAAAGCTGCAGTAGCACTTCAACTCCCATGAGTGATCCAGACAGAATTTCTCCTAACAATATCAACACAATATCAAGCAGACAGGTGGTGAGAATAAAGAAAATATCAAGTAGGGGATTATTGGTTGATTCAATAGCAAATTCTCCCAATTAGCACCACAAAAATTGTGTGGCAGACAGTGAGGAGAATTACTCCGCAATCTTGTCCTTGTAGTCCTTTTTGTGTTACTTCTCTTAGCGATTCCAGCATGTTACCTTGCAAACAGGTTATGAAAACAGACAGGGTTATCAGGTAGAGGGAGTTATCTTGATTTAAAAAAAAGTAGTAGTAGTAGGAGTAATGACAAAACGCGGTTTAATTTACATATAAATGTATGGCAGTCGGAAGGGAGAATTAGTATTTGGATCCTAGTGGTAAAAAAGGTTAAAGAGCGGCCTAAACGGTGGACTTGTTACCGGTTGCGAACTATTGGAATGGGTTAAGATTGGTTAGGATGTGTGTGTGTGTGTGTGTTTTTTTTTTTGTTTTTTTTTGACCTGTCAATATATGAAAAAGAAATCTCGGAAAAGTGCGTTACCCTTATCATTTTCCCATCGGTTCAAGTTTTCCAGATAGTGACAACTGTAATCCTGCTTTTCTCTTGCAGCGTAAATGATTATGAATCATGTGCAGAAATGTTACTCGACACGTTGGGCGACGAGATAGTTAACTTTTGCGATAAAAACGACAGGTAAGTCACAAGTATCTTTGAGTATATTTCTGCGGCAAATATTTACTCAGTTAAATTGGGTGGTAATACAGCCTCTATTCTTGGTTTCACCGGATAATTCTCTAGCCGGTGGATATCGCAAATATTTACTCAGTTAAATTGGGTGGNATGGTGTCAGTCTTGTACTGAGACAGTCCTGAAACAGAGCAAAACAACACGCACGGCAAACATCCCACTTTCACGTCTGCGACCTCACGTCAAAAACGTCTGCACATGCGTACTGATTACGAAGCTCATATTTAAACTTCCGGTTGACGTCCGTGAATCAAAAACGTCCGATGCTTAAGCTCTCTAATAGCATCAAATTGACGGGGTTGGGGTAACCTGCGATATATTACGGAGCATCAGATTGACGGGATTATACTTATAGTCGCGTAGGCGTGGATCCTACGATGATTTTGGCGGTATGTGCTTCTGGCCTTTGTGCGATACGTTTTTTTAGGTGAGATCCTATCGTATTCACTCTACACTGGCACCTTTACGAGCACGTGGCCAGCCAGAGTTGCCAGAGTGTGGGTGAATCATGAGTATTGAATCTTGACTGGCAATATAAAAGTATTTTCCATTCAGCGGTTTTTAAAAAGAGAAACACGCTGTCACGATAAAGGGCTGTAATCAAGTGAAAGTGTAATGTTGTAATGTTGGCAACTGCATGGTAGGCAGGAGGTGTTCTTGTTCATAGTACAGTTTATCTCGTTATTATCATGCAACAAATATGTAAGAGCTGCCAAACTGATTGATGGAAATGTCAATTCCTTCCAATGCGTGTCAGGTCTTCGACATTTCATATTTGTGTATTAGTTTATTTGCATAGCCAGGGTGACTTTCAAATGAGTATCGAAAGAAATTCAGGACCGCATTAGCTTGCTGTACTTACGCTGATTTCTCAACCATGTGATGCAAAAGTGGAAATAAATCGAGACTCTTCCACTCCCGTTTTCCCGCGTTTTCTTTTATTTCTGATTGGCTCCTTTTACGACGAACGTTTCTGAATCACCTCAGTGATAACTTTGGTTTAGGGTTAACGATACTCAACCGAAATCCACTCTTTGTTTTTTGTTTTTCTTTTTATACCGTTTGTTGATTGTGTCGGGCATGTTTTGATATTCCAGGGCTCGAAATTGCGACCAATACAGTCGCATTTGCGACTTACGTTTTATGTTTGCGACTAAAACTTGCCGAGGAGTCGCAAATTTGCGAGTAGAATAAAAAAGCCAGCAGTCGCTACTTTGCCACTATTTTTGCCGAAATAAATAAAGAAATGAAAAAAATATATTGCCGTGTGCCTTGATTATCGTAGACATTTGAAGATATAGGGTAAAATTGTACCTAATTTATCCGCAATGTTGTGCACGCAACGCCATTACCTTGATCGGCCGCCATTGCAGCGGTCTCTTATGTATATGTATTGCAGGCTCATATTTTTGTTTGTTAAACCGCTGGATTTTTGCGACTAAACTTCGTGAATTTGCGACTACGTATCAAGTCGCAAAATGGCGACTGAACTTTTCTTTAATTTTGAGCCTTGTATTCTTTGAAAGAATTAAGCATTTTGAATATACTCTTTTACTGCCGGCCTGTTACCTCCTCTTAGAGCGCTTTTCGATTTAGTAATCACTTCAGCCAATAATAACCTTAAGGAAAATAACCTTAAGAGCCAATGAGAACTCAATGTAAAAACAAGCGCGGGAAAACGCGGGCGACCAAGTCGTGATTGGTTTCGCGCATCTGACTGGTTGTTAGAGTCCGAGTTTTCTGGACCAGAGTGAATAGAAGTAAAAATAAAGCAATCCCGGATATGTTTTAACACTCAATTGAAACTTGCTCTAATGTCCACATAACTGATTTCAATTGCAGAACTCCTGTTCACGCTGCGGCATTTAACGACCAAGTAGACTGCCTGCAACTTCTGTTAGCAAGGGGAGGGAACGTAGATTCAGTGGATCGAAGCGGAAGAACACCTCTCATAATGGCCGCTGATAATGGTCATGCTGGCTCAGTGGGTGAGTTTCCTGTTGTCTCTCCGAATGCTGAGGCAGCGTTCTTTTCAGCTGGTAACCGGTTAAGTTTACCAACTGTAGTATTTCTTATTGCTGTCTAAAATTTTAATATAAGAGAAAAATCGAGTTTCCAGATGGGATTTGAACCCACGACCCTCCGTGATCTAGTCGGATGCTCTAACCACTGATCTACAGGAGACTCTATGGTGAGCAAGGGTCAATTAGTGGGTGTTGACTGGAACCACATCACATGGCTACACAGCCAAACATCAGCTATCGCATAGAAGCTCACTAACAGCATCACGCTGTCACATTAAAGCATCACATGCATTAAAGCATCACATGCAGCCAACCAGCCCCCAAAGTGAGCATGTAAAGATGAAATAAACAATTTTTAATATAAGAGAAAAATCGAGTTTCCTGGTGGGATTTGAACCCACGACCCTCGAAAATCGCTTGGAATTCTTAAAATTCGATTCGATGAAATGATTGTTTCACTGGTTCGAAAATGTCTCTTGCCTGTCGTGCTTAAAATAAGGGAGAACGCTGCAAGGTTGTTTTTTATCACCCTGTTGGAACAAATTTCCCTCATTTATTGGTTAATTATACATAATATGGGCGTATCTTCGACGGGGTTCATTGGGTGTTAATTGATTGGATGCGTGTCTCTTCACTTAAATTTTGATTTTCATCCTTGATTTGATGAGCTTCTTAGTGGAAATAGCTGAGAAGACTAAACGAATCGTCTTGCTCTCTGAGAAATATTTTTGTATAGAGTACAGTTTTACAAAATGAATAAACCCCCGGTTATTCGAAGGTCGGATAATGCTATGCACTGGATAAATCTCTATCTGGTGGATAGCCCAGTACGTTTTATGGCGTTTTCCGCCCTTTAAACAACTAGGCCTATTCATTAAAAAAAAAAAGAAAAAGTGGACCTTGGATAGGCAACAGTCGACTCATTTTTTTGTATGCTCGTTGCAAGGTTATGCATCTCTGAAGAAGTTTGCAACTTGCTCTTTTTTGTTTGTTTGTTTGTTTGTTTGTTTTTTCGTGTACAGAGTACCTTGTAGGAGACGGCGGAGCAGACGTTAATATAGTTGATCAAAATAAAAACACAGCGTTGCATGTGTCGTGCCGTCAGGTAAGACTTCATTTGTTTTAACCTATTACACGTTGACATGGGTATGCATATTCTCCACCTGCACTCTGTACATTTGCTATGGTGCCGACAAGGAGAATTTGATTGACAACAATCAGGAGCTTCTGAAATTGGTGATCATTTCCTTTATTCTCGTGACCTTAGTATTTGATTCGAGGGTGATGTTGTCAAGGGAAATTAGAAGCCAGTCATTCTTGAAGTCAAAGGGTCAAGCGTGGTTGTGTTGTCAAGGGAAATTAGAAGCCAGTCATTCTTGGAGTCAATGGGTCAAGCGTGGTTGTGTTGTCAAGGGAAATTAGAAGCCAGTCATTCTTGGAGTCAAT